GCCAGCTAGCCCTTGTACTATGTCTCGAGAGGACAGCTCTGCAAGCCCCACCGAGTGGGCCTTCGTAGTCTTGGTTTTCCTCTGCTGTCGTTGTCTGCTGCCGTTTCCACGCATACGTTGGGGGGTGTCAATCCCAGCGTTATCATGGAATCATGTTGGAATAGCTTATCTTAAGCTGTTACATGCAATCATCTCCGCCTCGCCCACCACCTCCACTTCACCACGCCTCGAAATTCCCGTCCATGACTCTCAACGTCCCGACCCTCTGTGTCCACTCCTCTCCATCATCAACTTCCACCGCTCGTTACAAGGACCCAAAGTACGAGTTGTTTTATGCCCTTGGATGAAGAAGCGTGAACGACAATAGAAACCCATCGCCGTCGTCTTCCATATTGCCATCCACGCCTCGCCTTTTGCCTTGTCGGATGAAACCTGCAGCATCGTTCTTAATCCACACACACCCAGTTCAATAGGACCGCCATCTAGAGACTCCTCTGCCATGGAGTTCCCTCTCGCGTGAGGATCCAGCCTTTAGATTCGTTCCTCCCCCACTTGGATTCATTGTTGTTTTGAAGGATGGGACGGCTACTGGGACCTGCTTTTCTGCTGTGGAATCATCGTCGTGCTTCATTATAGCTCACTGGGATTGCCGTCTATTCGCTGGAGCAGTCTCTTCACATTCAGTCCTGGCGGTGGGCCTTCGTTGGCTTTCGAGTTGAATTGAAAGTTGCTGGAGGACGGGTTCAGCCACTTTGTTCCCTATATCTCAGCCTCATCAGTTAGATTGGTCCTAGATCATGAGCGACCGGTCTAATATCATCGAATATGCATGTCGTCCCGGTGAAATCCATCTCCAACCTCTTTGTGCAGGGTCCCGACTTCTCCGGACAGGGTGGCGTCCTGTCAGACGTCGCCTTATGTTCGAGTCATACGTCTCATGAAGTCAGCCTGGATTCTCTGCCATCCGTGAAGACTCACTGAGCCCAGATTCCTCGACGCGAAATGTGCAGCACCTCTGGAGAACTGGCTGGAGATCAGCTCAATCGACCTCCGTGGAGTTTCCGGTAAATCTACGCGTCTTTCTCATGTTGATCGTGTCGCTAACGAATCGACCAACAGCTGGCTGTTGAACTAACCTCTCGAGAATGAAGAATACTCATCGCATTCCCCTGCAAGCCTCACCAAGTC